TATGGCACCATGGTATGATACTGCATGCTTGGACAAGACATACATAGAAATATCTTTGTCAGAGTCAAGATTGAATATTGTGAAGAGCTTACACACATTTGTAAGAGAAACTATTCTACATAAACTTCTGATGTTTAACCCTGTCACTAAAGTTCTCAACTTTACTGTTTGTTACTGAGCAGATTTGTACAAAACACACTGTACCATTTGAGTATCTCCCATTTGAGAAACAAAGGGGACTCTAGTATGAAGAAGCTAATGTGTAGATGAGCTCTATCAATAAGCATGATGTTCTGAGGTTAAAGTATACAGCATGTATATAGTATATAGCATGCTACCAACTCAAAACTGATGTCACATATGAGAAATACGTCTTTAAACAGTATATTGAATATCTAATATAAACATATAAAACCCGATCTCATAAACAGCCCAGGAAGGAAAGTAGTGTGATACTGTAGTGGTAACTCAGAATAAATTTTTAAGAATTTCTTTTTTGGAGAGCTAGCCCCTCCTCTCACCAGCTGCAGTACTTGTGAGAACAGGCTCTGCACATCACCAGGGCAGCACACAGTAGTAGAGCTGACCTTGGTGGCAAAGGTACAGGTAAGCTGGCCCCAAGGGCACGAGAGTAGGAGAGCTAGCCAGGGCAGTGCTGGAGAGTTCACCCTGGTAGTATGGGTGCAAGAAAGCCAACAGACTGACCAACTCAGCTACGACCCAGGCCCAGATCCAGGAACCAACATCTAACCCATCTATAAACTGCCAAAGCACATAAAAGGGCTGGTTCTGCAGAACCAAAGCTACAGGATCTCCATGACACAGAGCAACAACAGGACATCAAAGAGTAGCCCTGGTGAGGATCCACAGATGCAGATACTCACAGTCAACTACTGGACTGAGCCAGGAGACTCCAATGAAGAGTTAGGGGAAGGACTGAAGGAGCTGCAGGGGATTGCAACCCCATAGGAAGAACATCAACTAACTGGACCGGAGTTCCTAGGGACTAAACCACCAACCAAAGAGTACACATGGAGGGATCCATGGCTCCAGATACATATGTAGCAGAGGACTGCCTTATCTAACATCAATGGGAGGGGAAGCCCTTGGTCCTGTGGAGGCTTGATGCCCCAGCGTAGGGAGATGCTAGAGTGGTGAGGTGGGAGTGGGTGAGTGGGTGCAGGAGCACCCTCATAGAGGCAAAGGGGAACAGGATGGGAGGGTTGTGGAGAGGAAACCAGGAAGGGGGATATCGTTTAAAATGTAAACAAATAAAATGATTGAAAGAAAGAAAGAGAGAGGGAGGGAAGGAAGGAAGGAGAAGAGAAGAGAAGAGAAGAGAAGAGAAGAGAAGAGAAGAGAAAAGAAAAGAAAGAGAGGCAGAGTAGCAGAAGCCAGAGGCCTCAAACCAGACAAATGACTCACTGCTATGAACATTTGCAAGTAAAGAAGTGTGGACAAAAGGGTGTACTGTGGGACATACTACAGCTCCCATGATAAGATAGATTTTTTATTTGTTTAATTTTATTCATTATTGGGGAGTAAGGGCAGAAGGTAAATATGAAAAGACAAAGAAATGAGGTACAGGATGCAAAATACACAAAGGATCAATAAAAAGGTTTTAAAATGGCTTAGAAATAAAAAAAGAATTTATGTTTTGTGCTCTCTCTCTCTCTCTCTCTCTCTCTCTCACACACACACACACACACACACACACACACACACACCACACACCACACACACACACGTACAGGTGCCCATAGAGGCTAAAGGATTGAGTCTTCTGGAACTGCAGTTAACCATTGTGATCTGTCCAACATGGGTGCTGGGACCTGAACTCCAGTACTACCTCTAGAAGAACATCAACAAGCACTCTTAACTACTGGGTCGTCTCTCCAGCCCCCAAAGGCAATTTAATGAAGAAATAGCCTTTTAAACAAACTATGCCAGAATAATAGGCATACATAGACAAAAAGATTATCTTAAACTTTATCTTAGGCAAATGAGACTCACTGCTGATGCACTTGCCTAACAGGCCCAGAACTAGGCTTGATCTCCAGCACTGAATAAAGTAAAACAAAAATGTAATCCATGCATCCTGACTCAGTGATACAGTGAGACAAAAGGGGCAAAAATTTAGGAAGATGGGGAAATTGAAACAGGACAGATATCACTGTAACATGAAATTTTGTTAAGTTATTAGGTGTAACAGTGATTTTGTAATCCTATTTTGAGTTCTTTCCTAAGGACAAAAAAAATACTTAAACTTTACAGAGTAAGCTTGTTATTATTAATGACAACACATCCTGAAATCTGTTTGCATATATCACAGAACACAGAAAATGAATAAGTAATTTTATGTTCTTAAGAACAGGGCTTCTCACTGAGAGAGAAGAAAGATATATACATGAATGAAGATCCAAAGACCCCTGAAGCCAGGATGTTAACTGATGATACCAGATGAACACGGGTCTGTGTGTGTGTGTGTGTGTGTGTGTGTGTGTGTGTGTGCACGTGTGCCTGTGTTGTTGTTCCCTAGCTCTATCCATTCAAAGAGACAAAAAGCAATAGCACTCATGTGAATGACCTAGAACTAGTTCTAGACCCTAAATACCATTCCTCAGTAAAAACAAGCAGGCTTCGTTGGAGAAAGTCTAAGGCGGGGAAAGGAAGATGATCCTAGAATATTCATGTGTGTGGTTGGCAAAAAGTGACAAAGAACGATAGGGGCATGCATCCAAAAGGGCAAAAGGACCTAGGATACAGTTTAAAGAAACACCACGAGCTCAGAGAAGTAAGTGGCCTATGCAAGGTCACAATGCAAATGGTTAGCGGTAGCTAGTAACCAAATTAGGCTTCTTTGAGATACAAGCACACATACCTGTGCTAAGGTTCTAGGTCAGCTCTTAGCAGAAGAAGAGATGTAGACTACCAGGAGTCCCTAAAGCCCAAAGGTCTGGAACCCTGAATACAATAAAAGATGTCCAAGTGAGATGCATTGAAGTTCCAGATAGACGCTGGATTGCATTAGGCCTTTGAACTTGTGGTGCCTTCTGACTGGAACATACTCTGTACAGACAATTATTAGCTTGTGTTGGCTTCTGCTCAAAGACCATCTTATTACAGGGAGTCATCGACCAATGTATATAATTAAATTAAAAAAATAAAGATTGCTCATCAAACTGTTTAAGCAGTATTTCTGTAAGATTACAATTTTTTAAGAAAAGACATACAAAGAAGTACACAGGATACAGAATCGGGGTTTCACAGAGAGATGAAACTATCATCATAATGAAAAGTGTGATAATTTATCACTCTTTATTTCCTCCAGCACATACAGCATTGCTCTTCAACTACGCTTCATCAAATGAGTTCAGGAACAGTGTGTGTATGTTCCGTTTGTTTCTGACAAGCTATCTTAGAAAAGAGTCTAAGACAAAGAAGGTCAAAATTAATTAATTAATTAATTGCAAAATTAATTTATTGCAATGACTTTTGGAAAAGATTTCTAGATTTTAACTTACAGCCTGATCATTCTATTCAGATTCTTCCTGCCTCTACAACCCTAAATATTTGATCTTAAATAGCAACAACAGAAGGATGCAACAACTCACAGGAAAAATAGGTTTGCTTATCTATACTTGTCTTAGCTTTATCAAGAAAGGGTATCATGGCACCTACAACCCATGAATGGAGGTTTCTCTCCGACTGTAAGAAGGAAGCAGTAACTCTAGATATGACCCATGGCCCAGGATGATCTCGGCTGAAGCATTTACTTCACTGCTTATACTCTAAGGGGCTCATAGCAGATTATTCAGCGTCTTCATGCATCCGTTTCCTCTTCTAAGATATAGGAACAGTAGAATCTATGTCTTAGAGTTATTCTGAAAAGTAGGTAAGTTTAATAGAACAAATAATACAGGTAAGGTCTTGAAAGAACATCTGCATATTGTAACTACATATGCCGATCATGCGTTTTTATTGCTGTTGTTTGACTGTTGGGTAACACTGACACCTGTGTCCCTATGGTTTTTATTATTACTAGTACTATTATGACAACTGCTACAACAGCCAAGTTTAATCTACAAGTGATGCAATTTGGCATTTGATTCAGGAAAATGAGAGCAAAGCAAATTACAACACTCATATACACAGCCAGAGGGTGAAAAGCTAACTCCAAGGTGGTCCTTCAGTATCTTTCAGGAAGTTTTGTAAGAACCTGGAAGAAAGTTACCAACAGACTAACAATTCATGATTCATTCCCAGAAAGAATCTGTGACCTGAACAAATTAATCTCAGAAGAAATGGTATGTTCTCTTCCTTAATCATTTATGTAACATTATTAAGTTTACTATACACTAAAAATTAAGTGAGACATCAGAAATACAAAATGGAATATTGTCTTTTAAAACCTTGTGGCATTTCTAATGACCTTTTGTTTGTTTCTCCCTCCTTCCCTCCCTTTCTATCTCTTTTCCTTCCTTCCCCCACTCTTTCTTTCTCCCTTTCTTTCTTTCTCTTTATTTATTTATTTATTTATTTTCCAATACTAGGGCTCAAACCAGGGTCTTGTACCCACTAGGCAAACCCTTTAACTCTGAGATCCATTCTAAGCTCCCCAAACTGTCTTTATCAATAAAGTAGACATAGTCCCTAATGTCTGGTAGGTTATATGCTTAGTTCACACACATGGTACATGGAGGCATAAAGGAGAAATATGTGAAGCACTAGCCGGTTAAACAAGGGCTAAGGGGGTAAAAACCACACCCTCAGGAGTAAGAGTCAGCCACTGCAGGGCAGATACACAGCACATGAAAACAAAGAAGCCCTTCTGAAACTCCAGGGTAAACATCCACTGAGGCCTGCGCCTAAACAGAGAACCTCTGGAACAGGTTCCATTTACACAACTCTGCTCTCTTCAACTTAGAACAAGCCTCATTTGTGGAAACAGGACAGATAGCTGCAATTGAGACCACTTCAGAGACAAATTTCTCACTTACAACACTGGGCGGCAGCAGTGGGCAATGGCTTCCTCTGGCCTTCTTCTTGACTAGAATACTAGAAGCAGAAATGAAAAGAAAAAAATACACAGTAAGAGTTCCTAGTACAGAAGGAGGAGGAAAATCCCAGCTACCTATTAAAATATTCAGTGTGTAACTTGGGTCAATTTTTTTACTGAACAGAAATAAACTCATTCCTATCCTCCCTGTGGGATCCTGACTTAGCAGATCTTCAGTTACCGTGTGGCTTAAAGCAGGACAGCAAAGGGACGTCTGACTAAGTAGGCCTAGTAGAGCAAAAGGCCTGACCTTAGTGTATTCAAAGGGTTCTGTGTATGCCCATGGCAGTATCTAGATTTCACAAACCAAATGTTAAACTGAAGACCTCTATCAGGTTGTCTGCTTATCTTTGAGTAACAGTACTCCCTTGCAAATGCTTATGGATATTGAAACTGTACATCTAAGAGTACACAGCTGGACTTTCAGATATATCTGGTAGTTCCCTCCTGACTCTAGTTTCTCCAGGGACCAACAGCACCACCACCACCACAACAACAACAAAAACAACAACGACAAATGTATAGGGTACTGAAGCCATAAGAAAATAATCTATAAGAGGGAACAGAATTAAGGGGAAGTTTTGAGAGTAGGAAGGAGTTTTAAAAGTATAAAGTAACATATATAAGTAGCTTAGAAAAAGAGTTTGGTTCAAGCCAGTGAAGAACTGAAAAGGTATGAACCAACAAATATAAGATCTGGGCCAGCAGGCACATGCTTAGAATGAGCTCAAGGTAACTCTCAGCTACATGAAGAGTCAGAGACAAACATGGGCTACATGAAAAGGTATCTGGACTTTACACGCTAATTTTGCCACTCATTAATAAGCTATGAGGTTCTAAGTGAGCCAGAGTTAAATTGCCAATGAGCATTCATCCAGTAAATATTGACTTAGCACCCACTATGTACAAAGGCTTGTTGGGAAAATGGAGTTTAAGTCATAGAAAGGAGTCAGAAGTTTGTACTAGTGCATTGAGAGGCCACATAGCTTTAAACATGGGGGATGTGATTTGACTACTGTGGTGGTTGAATGAGCTATCTCCCATGGTCTTAGACATTTAAACACTTGGTGCCCAGTTGGTAGAACTGTGAGGCTTTGTTGGAAGAACTATGTCACAGGGGGTAGGCTTGGAGGTTTCAAAAGCCATTTAATCATTCCCAGGTAATATCCTCTCTCTGTCTCTCTGTCTATCCCTCCCTCTCCCCATCTCTCTTCCTTCCTCTCCACCCCCCTTCTCCTTTCTGCTTGTGTTTGAGATTCTGAGTTTCAGCTATTTCTGTCATTGGACCTGCTGCCCCATCTCATGCCATGATGGTGAGCTCGTATCCCTCTAGAAGAGTAAACTCATAAAACTTTTTCTTCTCTAAACTGCCTTGGTCATAGCAACAGAAAGTGACTAGAATTACACTTTTAAAAGACTATAACAGGGAAGGAGAGATGGCTTGGTGATTAACAGCACTAGCTACCCTTTCAAAGGACCCAGGTTTGTTTCCCAGAACCCATATGGCACCTCAGAACCATCCGTAACTCCAATTCTAGGAGACCAAACACCCTCTTCTTGCCTCCTGGTACCAGGCATTCAAGTGGTACACAGACATAAAATTAAAAAAAAAAAAAGACTGTCAGCTGTTACACAGATGAACTGTGGGGAATGAGGATGGGGTAGTCTATTAAGATAATTCAGATAAAATTTGGTGACTTGCCCACAAATAAGAATGTCAATGGCAAAGGATATTTCAAGTAGTTGTATCAATACTTCCAGTGGGTAATACTGAAAGTCAGACACAATGTACATAGTAGGACTGCATTAGTAAAGCTGATAACCACAAAACTGTTCAGTAATCCAAGGCTGAATCTCACTCCAACATGACAGAAAAACCAGCTATTAATAATAACCACTACAAATAATGAGTGGGTTTTTTTCATTCCGTGTATATGGTTTTTTACATATCTGTGCACCATATGCATGCCTGGTACTGGCAGAGGCCTCTTGGAACCAAAGTTACAAATGGCTACGACCTGCTTTGTGGGTGCTAGGAACTAAACCCAGGTCCTCTGGAAGAACAACCAGTATTCTTGACTGCTGAGCCATCTCTCCAACATCTCTTCAATAATGATGGTTTCATAGGCAGGACATAGGCTTAAAAGTAAGAAATCCCAAGATTTAAGTATTAAAGTAGAATAATGCACATATAAGATATCAAAGTAGATATTTTCAAGAAGCTGCATGTAATCAAACTTGTTCTAGGTGCAAAACAAAAAGTTAAAGTCCACATAACTACATCAAAATTAATAAAATTTAAGATTGTTTTAGAATGATTAATAGAGGGTGGGTAGATGGCTCAGCAGTTAACAGCATGCATTGCTCTTTCAGAGGATCAGGGTTCAATTTCCAGCATGTACATGGTGACTCACAACCATCCAGTTCTAGGATACCCGATACCTTCTTCTGACCTCCATGAGCAGCAGGTATGTTTGTGGTATATGTACATACATGCAGATAAAATGTTACTACACATAAAAGAAATCTAAAAAGAAATTTTAAGGCTGGACGATGGTGGCACATGCCTTTAATCTCAGAATTTGGGAGACATAGCAAGTCAAAGGCCCAAGGTGAATCCTTAGCACTATATATAAATAATAAACAAATAAATAAATAACCAATCAAGCAAGCCAGCCAGCCAGCCACTAGCTGGCCAAGGGAAAACAAAATACAAAAAAGCCATAACCAAAAAGCTAAACTCTATCTACACCCTGGCACGGTAGCACATATGTATAATACCACCAACATCTTGGGAAATAAGAGCTAAACATGAAGTCTGAGGCTAGCCTGGGGGGGGGGGGGGGAGGAGACCGAGACGAGAGAGGAGAGAGAGAGAAAGAGAGGGGGGGGAGGTATTGGAAGGAAAGAAGGAAGGAAGGAAGGAAGGAAGAAAACATTACAAAAACAGAAAATAACATAAGAAAAGTAAATTATTAACCAAACTCTAAACCAAATCTATCACATTATATACGTGTGTAATATTTACATGTGAATGTATATTGTTAGGCCAAAACCCCTGCTCATCCTCATACAAGTTGGGAAACCCTGTCTGCCCTCCTTCTCCCAATCCCACCCATTTGGAGACCTAACATGTCTTCACTCCTGTGTTTCCAGCAACCTACTCAAGAGTGCCCATCCAGGGGCTCAGATTCTGACGGTGTATGGACACCACCTCAGCTCCTAGCTGGTATGTCATCACTCCTCGCCTAAGCTCTGTAAAACCCCCTTGCTTTAGCCTGAATGTGTGACTTCACTGAGCTCCACCATGAGATTGGTGAACCCACCAAGAGCTGCCTCCTAATAAACTTGCTTTAACTACTTTTAATCTGTTCTAACCTGGCCTATGTCTGTGTCAATGAGGGAAAGCAAAAGCCGACATGTGCGCATATTTGTAGATATTGTTATGTAAATGTACATACATCTTCACCAAGTATACTTTAAACACAAGGGCGGTTCTACATATGAAGATTTTCATTCATGTAATTTGCCACATTAAGCAGATTAAAAGGGAAAACAATCATGATATAATAAATCTAAAAGAATGTTAGATAAAAATCCCATATGGTTTCATAACATGCTGACAAAATCATAAAGAGAACAAAACTTCCTTGGTCTCATGAGGATAGATACAAAATCAGTGGGAAACCAGCATGCTTTAAAAGAGAGAGTGTGTGTGTGTGTGTGTGTGTGTGTGAGTGTGTGTGTGTGTGAGTGTGTGTGTGTGTGAGTGTGTGTGTGTGTGTGTATCTTACAGAACAACACCCACTCCCCACTCCACCCCACCCCCATGCATATGGTGAAGGGAGAAGGTGCAATCTCTCCTCTGAGCTCTGAATATATCCTACTGTGCACACATATACACATAAAATTAAGATGTAATACAATAAATTTTAAAGACTTATAAAGACAGCCAGGTGTGATAGCACACACACCTTTATCCCAGTACTTCGAAGACAGAGGGAAGTGGATTTCTATGAGTTGGAAGACAGTGTGGTTTATACTGCTGAGCTCCAAACAAGCCAGCGTTACAAACTGAGACCGTGTCTCAAAATAATAAGAAAAAAAAGACTTATTGTGGTAGCATTCATAGGCTCATATATTTGAGAGCTTGTTTGGAGGTTCTAGCAGGGGAGCGTAGCTACTCGTATACCCTTGACCGAAGACCGGTCCTCCTCTATTCGGGGAAGGTCGTCCTCTTCGACCGAGCGTGCAGCTTCGGGAGGGACGCACATGGAGCGGTGAGGGAGGAAGGGGACACCCGCCTAGCCAGCCAGATCAGCCGAATCAACCCTGGCAATCAATGGGGTGACAGATGTCGCAGCCAGATCGCCCTCACATCCAGGCTCATATATTTGAAAGCTTGGTCCACAATTGCTGGAACTATTTGAAAAGGATTAGGAGGTGTGGGTTTGCTAGAGAGAGACATTTTAAAAGCCCAAACCAGGTTCAGTCAGTGTCTGTCTGTATCTCTGTATCTCCATCTGTCTCTCTGGTCTTGATCTCTCTCTCTCTCTGTCTGTCTCTCTGCCTCTCCTCCGTCTCTCCCCTCCCCTCCCCCTCCCCCTCCCCCTCTCCCTCTCCCCCTCTCTCCCTCTCTCTCTGCCTCCAACTTGCAGATCAATTGTGAGCTTTCTGCTACTGCTCCAGTGCCATGCCCGTCTACTTGCCACCACACTCCCTGCCATGATGAGCACGGACTAAGTCTCTAAAACTGTAAGCAACTAGCCAATTAAATCCTTGGTCACAGGGTACCATCAAAGGGACAACTATACTAGTGTTGTTTAACAGTTTCCTCCAAGATTGGAACATTCCATGCTGCAGAGAAGCTCCTTAAGCAAAAAGGTAGCAACTCAAAATAGCTTCAGGCAGTCCCTGGAACTTACCAGATTCACTAGGTCCTTCCCTGCCAGAGTAAGCAATAAAAGCTGAGAGTCCCTCTGAGACTGAAGGAAGCCAAGCTGCAAAAAGACTCTCAGACCAGACCAGCTTCCCAGAAAAAGCAGAAACAAGCTGAGCTGCCTAAAAGAGGCTCAGATCAACAAAAGCACCTAGAAAGGGCTCTCTCCAACTTGAGCTGCCTGGAGGATGTGCCCTGTGCTACAGGTTCCCAGGTTTTATGAGTTGTCAACCCATGCTAGGGTGAGCCTTGGTGATGAAGCTGTCTTTGAGCCATTTCTGGTCCTGTAATTCCTCACCCATATTCCATAAGTAACCACAATAAAACTCACTGATACACCAAGCTGGACTTCAGTGGTAGCCATACTTTGGTCTGCCGTGGGTTCCCTAGCTGGGTGAGTAGATGTGTGTGTTATGTTGTGAAACCAAAAGAGGAGCCACAGTGTCACACATTGTTACTCCAACCTTATAAGAGTATCTGTTTCCTAAGCCTAATGTAGCCTGCAAACCATGTTTCTCAGCCGCTGCTGAACCTGTTCTTTGTTTGTTTGTTTGTTTTATTGGATATTTTATTTATATTTCAAATGTTATCCCCTTTCCCAGTGGCCACTCCAAACCTCCTATCCTATTCCCCCTCCCCCTGCCTCTATGAGGGTGTTCACCCACCCACTCCTGCCTCCCTGCCCTCACATTCCCCTACACAGGATTAAAGGACTCTTCTCCCACTGATGCCCAACAAGGCCATCCTCTGCTACATATGCAGCTGGAACCATGGGTCCCTCATGTGTACTCTTTGGTTGGTAGTTTAGTTCCTGGAAGCTCTAGGAGGTCTGGTTGGTTGATTGTTATTCTTCCTATGGGGTTGCAATCCCCTTCAGCTCCTTCCGTACTTTCTCTAACTCCTCCATTGAGGACCCCATGCTCAGTCCAATGGTTGGCTACAAGCATCTGCCTCTATATTTGTCAGGCTCTGGAGGAACCTCTCAGGAGACAGCTATATCAGGCTCCTGACTCTGCTGAACTTGTAACCCCATGATGGGTACCCACCAGGTTTGCCTTGCTCCTGAGCACCTGTGATGACTCCCCTTGCACAGAAAGTATTCTTTTTTTTTAAGATTTAGTTATTTATTTTATGTATATGAGTAAGTACACTGTCACTGTCTTCAGACACACCAGAAGAGGGCATCAGATCCAATTACAGATGGTTGTGAGCCACCATGTAGTTGCTGGGAATTGAACTCAGGACCTCTGGAAGAGCAGTCAGTGCTCTTAACCACTGAGCCATCTCTCCAGCCCCCATAGGCAGTATTCTTGCACTTCTACCCCACAGGCAGCCTTGAGCCCTGAGTCGTCACTCTTCTCTTTGGGTGCTAACAGCCAACCATCTCAACAGCTTTTTCGATGAACTCTAACCCTTCCCTATAAAAGGGATCTCAAAAGCCAGTGAGGGGCTGCTCTCTGAAACCCCAATTTAGGGGAAGCCTGTCATCTGTCCAGTCCCTTGTGCTGTTCTAAAAACAGCTTCCTTTAATCAGACAGTCGTGCAAGTGTTTTTTTTCCTCAGGTCCAACAGTGTCTCCCAGGAAATGTTTTGTCACACATAAGTGGATATCATAGGAAATGAAAATTAAAAAAAAAAAAGGGTCTAATGTATCTCAGGTTAACCTTGAACTCCTTAATAAAAATAGTAACAACATTGAAATGCTGATCTTAACCTCCACCTTCCAAAAACCAGTGAATATTTTAAGGGGTTATTAAAAAATAAGCTAAGAAATGTCTAAGGAAATACAGCAACTAAAAAAGTAAACAGGATGAGACCCTACAACAACAAACAAACAAATTAAAACCTGGTGTTCTGCCTTTTTTTTTTTTAATTTGGTCAACTTAACCCAAGCGAGAACCAAATAGGAAGAGGAGTTTCAACTGGAGGGGAACTCTGTAGGACAGTTTTTTTGTTTTGTTTTGTTTTTTGTTTTTTGTTTTGTTTTGTTTTTCGAGACAGGGTTTCTCTGTGTAGTTCTGGCTGTCCTAGACGTTTTCTTGATTACTAATTGATAGAGAAAAGTAGAACCCATTGTGGGCGGTGGGATCCCTGAACAGGTAAGTCCTAGGTGGTATAAGAAAGTGTGCTGAACAAGCCATGAGGAACAAGCCAGTAGGCAACATTACTCCATGGCCTCTGCTTGAGTTCCTGCCCTCACTTCCCTTGATGATGACTACAACTGTAAACTGAAATAAACCCTTTGCTTCTAATCATGGTGATTTTTTGCACAGCAATAGAAACCTAACTAGGATCCTCCTCACATAAGATAAAAACTGAGGAGGCTGAAGAGATGCCTCAGCAACTGAGAGAGCTTGCTGCTCTTCAAGAGGACTGGAGTTTGGTTACCAGCACCTACATCGAGGTAACTTAAACTATGTTTAACTCTAGCTATGGAGGACCCAGCTGCCTCTTCTGCCCTCCTCAAGTCTATCCATGTGTGTGCTCACACACATACATAAATAGAAACAAATTCTTTTTAAAGACTAAGAAAATGTAAACAAACTGTTTAAGAGTCAATATTTCAAGATTGTTTATAAATGTGTGTATATATCCATATCGAGAGAGAGAGACAGAGAGACAGAGAGATAGAGAGAGACAGAGAGAGGTGGGGGAGGGAGGGAAGAGGGAGGGAGGGGGAAGGAGGGAGGGGGAGGGAGGAGGGAGGGAGGAGGGGAGGGAGGGGGA